GCAGCAGCGTAAAAAGGATGGGGTGGGGGGGCAGTGCAAATAGTCCGGGTAGCCATGATTAGCTGTTCAGGAGTCTTATAACTTGGGGGTAGAAGCTGTTGAGAAGTCTTTTGGACCTAGACTTGGCACTCCGGTACCGCTTGCCGTGCGGTAGCAGAGAGAACAGTCTATGACTAGGGTGGCTGGAGTCTTTGACAATTTTGAGGGCCTTCCTCTGACACCGCCTGGTATAGAGGTCCTGGATGGCAGGGAGCTTTGCCCCAGTGATGTACTGGGCCGTACGCACTACCCTCTGTAGTGCCTTGCGGTCAGAGGCCAAGCAGTTGCCATACCAGGCGGTGATGCAACCAGTCAGGATGCTCTCGATGGTGCAGCTGTAGAATTTTTTGAGGATCTGAGGACCCATGCCAAATCTTTTTAGTCTCCTGAGGGGGAATAGGCTTTGTCGTGCCCTCTTCACGACTGTCTTGGTGTGTTTGGACCATGATAGTTCGTTGGTGATGTGGACACCAAGGAACTTGAAGCTCTCAACCTGTTCCACTACAGCCCCGTCGATGAGAATGGGGGCGTGCTCAGTCCTCTTTTTTTTCCTGTAGTCCACAATCATCTCCTTTGTCTTGGTCACGTTGAGGGAGAGGTTGTTGTCCTGGCACCACACGGCCAGATCTCTGACCTCCTCCCTATAGGCTGTCTCATCGTTGTCGGTGATCAGGCCTACCACTGTTGTGTCGTCGGCAAACTTAATGATGGTGTTGGAGTCGTGCCTGGCCATGCAGTCATGGGTGAACAGAGAGTACAGGAGGGGACTGAGCACGCACCCCTGAGGGGCCCCCGTGTTGAGGATCAGTGTGGCAGATGTGTTGTTACCTACCCTTACCACCTGGGGGCGGCCCGTCAGGAAGTCCAGGATCCAGTTGCAAAGGGAGGTGTTTAGTCCCAGGATCCTTAGCTTAGTGATGAGCTTAGAGGGCACTATGGTGTTGAATGCTGAGCTGTAGTCAATGAATAGCATTCTCACGTAGGTGTTCCTCTTGTCCAGGTGGGAAAGGGCAGTGTGGAGTGCGATAGAGATTGCATCATCTGTGGATCTGTTGGGGCGGTATGCAAATTGGAGTGGGTCTAGGGTTTCTGGGATTATGCTGTTGATGTGAGCCATGACCAGTCTTTCAAAGCACTTCATGGCTACAGACGTCAGTGCTACGGGTCGGTAGTCATTTAGGGAGGTTATCTTAGAGTTCTTGGGCACGGGGACTATGGTGGTCTGCTTGAAACATGTTGGTATTACAGACTCAGTCAGGGACATGTTGAAAATGTCACTGAAGACACTTGCCAGTTGGTCAGCACATGCTCGGAGTACACGTCCTGGTAATCCGTCTGGCCCTGCGGCCTTGTGAATGTTGACCTGCTTAAAAGTCTTACTCACATCGGCTACGGAGAGCGTGATCACATAGTCGTCCGGAACAGCTGGCGCTCTCATGCATGCTTCAGTGTTGCTTGCCTCGAAGCGAGCATAGAAGTGGTTTAGCTCGTCTGGTAGGCTTGTGTCACTGGGCAGCTCGCGGCTGTGCTTCCCTTTGTAGTCTGTAATAGTTTTCAAGCCCTGCCACATCCGACGAGCGTCAGAGCCAGTGTAGTATGATTCAATCTTAGACCTGTATTGACTCTTTGCCTGTTTGATGGTTCGTCGGAGGTCATAGCGGGATTTCTTATAAGCGTCCGGGTTAGAGTCCCGTTCCTTGAAAGCGGCAGCTCTACCCTTTAGCTCAGTGCGGATGTTTCCTGTAATCCATGGCTTCTGGTTGGGGTATGTACGTACGGTCACTGTGGGGACGACATCATCGATGCACTTATTGATGAAGCCAGTGACTGATGTGGTGTACTCCTCAATGCTGTCTGAAGAATCCCGGAACATGTTCCAGTCTGTGCTAGCAAAACAGTCCTGTAGCTTAGCATCTGCGTCATCTGACCACTTTTTTATTAACCGAATCACTGGTGCTTCCTGCTTCAGTTTTTGCTTATAAGCAGGAATCAGGAGGATAGAGTTATGGTCAGATTTGCCAAATGGAGGGCGAGGGAGAGCTTTGTAGGCGTCTCTGTGTGTGGAGTAAAGGTGGTCTAGAGTTTTTTTCCCTCTGGTTGCACATTTAACATGCTGGTGAAATTAGGTCAGAACTGATTTAAGTTTCTCGCCTGCATTAAAGTCCCCGCTACTAGGATCGCTGCTCTGGATGAGCGTTTTCCTGTTGATTAATGGCCTTGTACAACTCCATCAGTTCAATCTTATGCCAGCATGGGTTTGTGGTGGTAAATAGACAGCTATGAAAAATATAGAATGAAAACTCTCTGGTAATAGTGTGGTCTACACTACATAAGATACTCTACCTCAGAGGCGAGCAAAACCTCGGACTTCCTTAGTATTTGATTTTGTGCACCAGCGTTGTTTACAAATATACAAGACCGCCACCCCTTGTCTTACCAAGAGTCTGCCGGTCGTCCTGTCGATGTAGCCTTATAGCCCCTGCCTAGCCTGAATGTTTATCATTGTTGTACCTTTGCACTATCCTGCCATTAGAAAACAGAAGTTAATTATTGTGACTGCAAGCTGGCCTACCTACTATATGTATCAGATGACTAAAATAGCAATCATCTTTACATGGAGTAGATTTGCCTATTACTATAAAACCTGTTACAAATACAGGCCTATTTGCTCATCTGTGAATCTAAATCAAGTTAGACATAATTCCTTAGCACTGTACTGCCAGTCTGTATCCCTCCATTTGTAACTTAAATATTTCATTCTGCCTCTCTCTCTCCTGGTCCCTCTTTCTCCTTCTCATCTCCTCCATATCTGACCCCTTTCTGTTCTGCTCTGCATCTTTAGCCTCAACTGCACACAAAAAAACACAACATAAGGCAAACAGGGAACTCTAAATATATATTTTGTTTTATGTGTGGCATTTTGTTGTAGGTAATTCTGTTTCAGAGACGGAAAACCACAGCCCAGTGATTCTCAATGTATCAGGGAGTCACCATTGAGACCAGTGTCTCTTTTACGAGGGAGCCCTGCATATACAATTTCATAAAATACATACAAAATTAAATACAATATAAAACACAGCACAGCACATTTAGCACAGACAAACATAAATATACACAATATCCACAAAACACAGTCAACTAAAACTACCCCCAGAGAGCTGCAATTCTGTTTTGTCCCAGCTCAGCAGTGAAACACATGCTTCAGCTTATCAAGGTGTGTTGAGTATAAGTTTAATCAGGTGTGGTTGCACTATGCTGGGATACAAACATGCAACACTGCAGCTCTCCATGAGCAGGAATGAGGATCACTGCCAGTCACTCAGAGTGTTTTGTGTAATGTGTGCTTACGTTTGCTCTGTGTTTCTCTGTGAGCGCCCTCCACCTCTCTACTGCGCTGCTCTCTCACAGTCTCCAGCTCCCTCTAGTGTCTCTCTCCCACAGCTCTCATATCTGCCACCAGCCTCTGAACCTCAGCCTCCCGCTCCTTACCACACCCGGCCACAAGGGGGAAGCAATGGCAACACATTTTGTTTCTCTGTTTGTCACTTCAATTTGGAATCCAAATTATTTAATTATGCAAGAATGCAATATTTAGATTCAGTTAATTTCATCCTTCTGCCCTCACCTCTACTGTCCTCTCACATTGCCTTTTCAGATCTGACACACTGTTTCTCAACTTATAATTCTCCTCTGTAAGATAGTGTTTATTACCATTTCATTTTATTCCAACCGTTTCAAAACAGTTTAGAATTAGACTATAGATAAAGTACCGTATCTCAAAGAGGAGAGACTATTACCTGTGAGGTCCCACTGCTGCTGTAGTCCCCTCACCTTCCTCAGCATCCCATCTCTCTCTGCAGGACGACATCTTCAGGTGGACTAATGTTACATTACAGGACCACCTAGAGGGAGACACAGACTTTAAATATAGTTTTTTTTAAAGCGATTTATCATTGAGGCCTATTTACCTTACTTTGAGAAGGACAACTCCAATACATTTATTTTCATGCTTGATTGGAAGTACTAATGTAAATACCCACATTTCTAGTATTGGTCACTTTGTTGGCTATTCACACCAGACCAAAGCTCTATCCATCACTAAAGATAACACAATCCTGATGTGTGGCTACTTTAAAATCCATTTAAATGCTACGGATCACAGATGAAAAAGTTTGAATGCATATGAATCCTCACCCTCTGTCAAGCACTTCTCTTTGGTCTGAAGAACATTTCAGAACTCTTGGTCTCATCAGCTTGATCTCCAATATGTTGTTTTTACTCTTGAGCTCTGTAGTTTTCTTTAAAAAAATTAAAGGGATAAATAAATATACCACAGGGTTTTAAAACAGCTTCCATGCAGAATTTATTAAAGTAGTAAATGGTATGGGTGTGCCTATACATTGAAATCCTCAGGCAAAGTCAGGGAACTGTTGTCACTGCTGCATGCCACTTTCATGACAGGATTAAAATAAGGTGAGTTCAACATAGCCTACTATGACCAGGCTATCTTAACAGTTAGTTAGCTAATGTTAGCCTTCTTAGTTACTGGCTAGCTAATTAATAGCTAGCTAAGTTAACTGATGAACTAGCTAGGTCCTCCTGCTTCATGTTAAAGTTACCGGTTCCAGATGAGGTAAATTATCAATAAACTTGTCCAGACTGACTGCTGTAAACTTCATCTCTAGCTTCAAAATGGGACAGTTCAGAAAGGAGAGAACAGTATTTTATTCTCCAATATGCTAAGCTACCTAGCAAGTTTATATTGTACATCAGTTTTAAGCGATGGTGGGAACTATTTTCTGCGCGTGCCATGTGGTCAGTGTTGCAGGTGCTGCACTCAGAAGATGTCCACCAATCGATCGGTGTGCGTATTTGTTGAAGCTGTGAAATCAAATGGAGCCTAGTCCAATGGCTACAACTCAAAGCATCAGTACTAAATCAAATTAATGGAATCAGTACAGTTTAAATGTGAAATATGTTTATTTATAACATTTTAGCTGTACAATAAAGAACCATTACCATTTACAGTTCCCCAGAAGGATAATCTGACACTCATTTGATAGTCCCCTTTTTGTAAGCGGTACATCATAGTAAGCAGAAAAAATATATAGTTTTTGATAAAACACATTTGTGTATATCTGCAAAAACAGCAGCAAACATTCAGTAAGCACAACTACCTACTCTTCTAGACTGGTTGAGAAGCCACAGTCAATCAGCAGAACACAGATGGTGGTCACCAAACGCTTCCCTTTTGACAATATTCAGATCTGTAAATACTTTTCAGTTGTAAGAAACAATTATTGGGATTATTGTGAACAACATTATCAACAACACCACTGTAAGTTAAGTATCTGTCCCTTGTGCTGGCATTTAAAGTCACTTGTAGGTAATGTTCTTCAAAAATATTAGTAATATGTTAAGAGTTTCATACGGCCAGCTCCTGTGAGAGACCATAATCCCTTCTTGACCTTCTATTTCCTTTGTTTGCTCAGTTAAGGTGTTGGCAGACAGGTGTGGCACATCAGTTCAGACCTTGAAGAACAGACCCCTCTCCTGACCTCCCCATCCTTCTTACCAAATCTCAAAATGTCTGTAGCTGTCATGTTGGGAGAAGGAATGAGAAGAGGTGGGGCAGGCAGGGGAACCACCCTCATTTTTGGAGGTATGACATTTGGCACTCTATTCTTTGATTTCTAGTCACTCAGGCACTGAATTCCCATGCCACCTCTGATCTGTGTGCAATAGCATAGTCTCTACACCTCTGAGTTATGGTGTAATGTTGCCCAGTAGGTCAGGGGTCAGGTACCCCTCTGGTGTAGGTGTGGGCAGGGGCAGCTTGGTTAGGACTGGCTGTGGTGCAGGTGGGGGGCTGGGCTTCAGAAGGAGGCTGTTCTGCCTGTCCACTCCCTCCACCATTGTGTAGGCAGAGACAGGGGGCAGTGGGGAAACAGGAGAGGCAGGTGGAATGGGGGGCATTTCAGCCTCAAAGTACGGGCTCTGGTACTCCCGGAAGGGCTGTCCCTGCGCAAGACTACTGTCCTCTGTTGGAGCAGGCTGGCTGCCTCTCCCAGTGGGGAGTCTGGCACTCATCTTCCCAGCGTCTAACTCTGAGGTGTAACCTCCCCCATTCACCACCAGCAGCTGAAACTCCTTCCTCTGCTTCTCTTTCTCCTTTCCCTTCTCAGCCTTCTCCTCTGCATCCTTCTTCACCTTGCTCTGCTCCTCAGGCATCAGCAGCACTTCGCCAGTGGGTCTCACCTCGCTCACCTGGGTGTAGACGTCCTCCCTGCCAGGGACAGCCCAGAGAGTCTTCCCAGTGGTGGGGGTCTGGACTGGGGAGCTGGCCTCAGTGCTGGCCAGGCCAAAGGACTCCAGGCTGGTGCTGGTGTTGGAGAGGGGGTGGTGGAAGGGGAAGGACTCTGGTTCAGGCAGATCAGGGTCACAGCAGCTGGCCCGGCCCGAGTCGTCATCTCCGAAGCCAATGGTGAGAGGGGGACAGTCTGAGGAGGGCGAGCAGTCCATCAAGCACTGGGTGTCCAGCTCAGTCAGCCTGTCGTTGGGCTCCTCCATGTCCAGCTCGATGAACTCCACCCAGGGGTCTTCACAGTACAGCTCTGGCCTCAGGTCAGGGTGGCCGCCCAGGATGGAGGTCAGCTCAGCCAACTTACCTTTCTATGGTCAACGACAGATAATACCTCAGAGTTAGTTTAAAGGGGCAACATACATTTATTACAACCTTTCTGGTACTTCATATTGTCTCCCCGCTTTTTTAAATTGTGTCAAGTTAATACCTTGAAGAGCTCTGGGTCAATTCCTTTGATTTTGGGACCAGGAATTGGAGGCAGGAGAATCATCATCAACCTTGAAGAAAGAAAGAGGAATAGTTATTAACAGGCAAACATGTTGCATGAGACTTTATATTTAGCTGAAGAGGTTGAACATATTATTTTAAGACAGAGTAAAAGGTAAAAGTAAGTCTCTTACTTCTGTTGCTGGGAATAGATGACCAGCATTAGGATGACTGCTAAACCCAAGGCAGCAAAGACGAGCAGGACAGTAACTGGAAATCTGGACTCTGAGCACAAATATATAGAAGGCAATTAATATGATTCAAAACAGAGACATCATCCATGTTATAACATGTTACATTTTATATGACAGTATATAAAAACTATACATGTCAGTACCTTTAGTGGGGATGTGTATGACTATGGAGTCGCTGAATTCCCCAAAGTTACTGGATGCCAGCGTCTTGCACCTCACCCTGACCTCATGATCTGTGTTGGTGCGCAGCCCGTATAGCGATCGCTGCATCCCCTTCTCAAGGTCCACCTGGGGGTGCAGTCAAAACAGAGGTTTCACACCAGTTAGTTGGTGAATATCACCCACACAACAGGTGAGACACAACTTACGAATATCACCAACACAACAGGACAAGACAATTTACACCTGCAGGTTTAATCCATATAAGGACCTGAATCAATGAAAGCAGCCTTGGTATGTCACTTTGGTAGATTACCCCCAAAATTAGACTCATGTTCCCTTGCATGGAGGGAGATGATGTGTAAGAGGGAGAATTAGAGGGCAGAGTTGGAAAGAGGCTGTTTGTTCTAAATTACAACGTGGGAGAAGGAGGCATAAGACTTTTGATTACAGGGTACTTAAAATAATGCAGTAAAACTTGGTCATGTCAAAATTACCTGGACTGCAGTCTCAGCAGGTCTGTCCAGATGAAGGTTTATATGAGCACTGAACACTACATTTAGGGCACTATTCAATCTGTATCACTGAAGCGTTACAGATTGCGTGATAGAAATGTAAAGGTAATTTACGATTGAGCTGACAATATGCACCGTTTACCGTGAATGCAGTCTCCGCTAACACGGGAATTTAAAGCACTCTGTAACGCTGAACTTCCTCGATACGGATTGAATAGAGCCCTTAATCTTTATTGCCTATGTAAAGATTCTGAAATGACACAATAGTGGGATCTGCAACAGTTTGACCGAAAGATTCAAATAGAGGCCTCATGGAAGGGTTATCAAATCAAAGTTCATTGGTCGCATACACAGATTTGCAGGTGTTATGGCAGGTGCAGTGAAATGCTTGTATTACTATATCCAGTGCAGTAGAATGTCTCGCAAATGTATCATACTGAATGGCCACCACTAGTCAGCTAACTGCTCCCCCCTCCTCTCCTGCTACTCCCCCTATCGACATTTCCCGTGCCCCCACCCCAATGGACATTTTTCATTGCCACAAATGTTAATATGTACAGTTGAAGTCGGAAGTTTACATACACCTTAGCTAAATACATTTAAACTCAGTTTTTCACAATTCCTGACATTTAATCCTAGTAAAAATTCCCTGTCTTAGGTCAGTTAGGATCACCACTTTATTTTAAGAATGTGAAATGTCAGAATAATAGTAGAGAGAATGATTTACAGTGGGGAAAAAAAGTATTTAGTCAGCCACCAATTGTGCAAGTTCTCCCACTTAAAAAGATGAGAGAGGCCTGTAATTTTCATCATAGGTACACGTCAACTATGACAGACAAAATGAGAGAAAAAAATTCCAGAAAATCACATTGTAGGATTTTTAATGAATTTATTAGCAAATTATGGTGGAAAATAAGTATTTGGTCAATAACAAAAGTTACTCAATACTTTGTCATATACCCTTTGTTGGCAATGACACAGGTCAAACGTTTTCTGTAAGTCTTCACAAGGTTTTCACAAACTGTTGCTGGTATTTTGGCCCATTCCTCCATGCAGATCTCCTCTAGAGCAGTGATGTTTTGGGGCTGTCGCTGGGCAACATGGACTTTCAACTCCCTCCAAAGATTTTCTATGGGGTTGAGATCTGGAGACTGGCTAGGCCACTCCAGGACCTTGAAATGCTTCTTACGAAGCCACTCCTTCGTTGCCCGGGCGGTGTGTTTGGAATCATTGTCATGCTGAAAGACCCAGCCACGTTTCATCTTCAATGCCCTTGCTGATGGAAGGAGGTTTTCACTCAAAATCTCACGATACATGGCCCCATTCATTATTTCCTTTACAGGGATCAGTCGTCCTGGTCCCTTTGCAGAAAAACAGCCCCAAAGCATGATGTTTCCACCCCCATGCTTCACAGTAGGTATGGTGTTGTTTGGATGCAACTCAGCATTCTTTGTCCTCCAAACACGACAAGTTGAGTTTTTACCAAAAAGTTCTATTTTGGTTTCATCTGATCATATGACATTCTCCCAATCCTCTTCTGGATCATCCAAATGCACTCTAGCAATCTTCAGACGGGCCTGGACATGTACTGGCTTAAGCAGGGGGACACGTCTGCCACTGCAGGATTTGAGTCCCTGGCGGCGTAGTGTGTTACTGATGGTAGGCTTTGTTACTTTGGTCCCAGCTCTCTGCAGGTCATTCACTAGGTCCCCCCGTGTGGTACTGGGATTTTTGCTCACAGTTCTTGTGATCATTTTGACCCCACGGGGTGAGATCTTGCGTGGAGCCCCAGATCGAGGGAGATTATCAGTGGTCTTGTATGTCTTCCATTTCATAATAATTGCTCCCACAGTTGATTTCTTCAAACCAAGCTGCTTCCCTATTGCAGATTCAGTCTTCCCAGCCTGGTGCAGGTCTACAATTTTGTTTCTGGTGTCCTTTGACAGCTCTTTGGTCTTGGCCATAGTGGAGTTTGGAGTGTGACTGTTTGAGGTTGTGGACAGGTGTCTTTTATACTGATAACAAGTTCAAACAGGTGCCATTAATACAGGTAACGAGTGGAGGACAGAGGAGCCTCTTAAAGAAGAAGTTACAGGTCTGTGAGAGCCAGAAATCTTGCTTGTTTGTAGGTGGCCAAATACTTATTTTCCACCATAATTTGCAAATAAATTCATAAAAATCCTACAATGTGATTTTCTGGAATATTTTTTCTCAATTTGTCTGTCATAGTTGACGTGTACCTATGATGAAAATTACAGGCCTCTCTCATCTTTTTAAGTGGGAGACCTTGCACAATTGGTGGCTGACTAAATACTTTTTTTCCCCACTGTATTTCAGCTTTTATTTCTTTCATCACATTCCCAGTGGGTCAGAAGTTTACATACACTCAATTAGTATTTGGTAGCATTGCCTTTAAATTTAATTTAAAAATCATACAATGTGATTTTCTGGATTTTTATTTTAGATTCCGTCTCTCACAGTTGAAGTGTACCTATGATAAAAATGACAGACCTCTACATGCTTTGTAAGTAGGAAAACCTGCAAAATCGGCAGTGTATCAAATACTTGTTCTCCCCACTGTATGTGGAGAATACAGGATATACATACACAGTGAGTAAACAACAGTATATAAACAGAATATGAGGTGACCAGCATTCAATTCAATGACTCTATTAGTCATTATAGGTGGGTCCAGTGGTTATTCCTGGTCTAATCACGGAGTCAGGAAAAACTACAGACCCAGCCCTATGCATAAGGTCCAGGGCTGGGAGTTTTCCCCTGTTGTAGGGTGTAGACTCACCATCCTCCACCTTGTTGAGTTGACCTCACGGTACTGCACCTCGTACTGTAGCGTCATCCAGCCCATGGACACGTCTGCAGAGTGTGGCGGCTCCCAGCTCACCATGATGTCAAAGTGGCTCCCGGTTAGACCCACATTCAGCAGGGTCCAGTTCAGAGCTATTGGAGGGTCTGGTTCCACTGGAACACATTTAAAACTAAATTAGGTTTACCATCGTGAAATGCTGAATGGCACATACAAAATTCAATACATCTACACAACTAGGCTATACAATAGGCTATATACTGTATGTACAGTGCCCTCGGAAAGTAATCAGAACCCTTTACTTTTTCCACATATTGTTACGTTACAGCCTTATTCTAAAATTGATTAAATATTTTTTCCCCTCATCAATCTATACACAATACCCCATAAGGACAAAGCAAAAAGTAAATTTGTTTTGAGCAAATGTATTACAAATAAAAAACGGAAATATGACATTTACATAAGTATTCAGACCCTTTACTCAGTACTATGTTGAAGCATCTTTGGCAGCGATTACAGCATCAAGTCTTCTTGGGTATGTCGCTACAAGCTTGGCACACCTGTATTTGGGAAGTTTCTCCCATTCTTCTCTGCAGATCCTCTCATGGTGATGGCAGCATGATGGTGCCAGGTTTCCTCCAGAAGTGACGCTTGGCATTCTGGCCAAAGAGTTCAATCTTGGTTTCATCAGACCAGAGAATCTTGTTTCCCCATGGTCTAAGAGTCTTCAGGTGCCTTTTGGCAAACTCCAAGCGGGCTGTCATGTGCCTTTTACTGAGGAGTGGCTTCCGTCTGGCCACTTTACCATAAAGGCCTGATTGGTGGAGTGCTGCAGAGATGGTTGTCCTTCTGCTAGTTTCTCCCATCTCCACAGAGAAACTCTAGAGCTCTGTCAGAGTGATCATTGTGTTCTTGGTCACCTCCCTGACCAAGGCCCTTCTCCCCCGATTGTTCAGTTTGGCCGGGCGGCCAGCTCTTGGAAGAGCCTTGTTGGTTCCAAACTTCTTCCATTTACGAATTATGTAGGCCACTGTGTTCTTAGGGACCTTCAATGCTACATAAATGTTTTGGTACCCTTCCCCAGATCTGTGCCTTGACACAATCTTGTCTCTGAGCTCTACAGACAATTCCTTCATCCTCATGGCTTGGTTTTTACTCTGACATGCACTGTCAACTGTGGGACCTTATATAGACAGGTATGTGCCTTTCTAAATCATGTCCAATCAATTGAATTTACCACAGGTTGACTCCAATCAAGTTGTAGAAACATCAAGGATGATCAACGGAAACAGGATGCACCTGAGCTCAATTTCGAGTCTCATAGCAAAGGGTCTGAATACTTATGTAAATAAGGTATTTCTATTTATTATGCAAAAATTTCAAAAAAACTGTTTTTGCTTTGTCATTATGGGGTATTGAGTGTAGATTAATGAGGATTTTTATTTATTTAATCAATTTTAGAATAAGGCTGTAACGTTACAAAATGTGGAAAAAGTCAAGGGGTCTGAATACTTTCCGAAGGGGCACACACACACACACACAGTACATGACCAAAAGTATGTGGACACCTGCTCGTCGAACATCTCATTCCAAAATCATGGGCATTAATATGAATTTGGTCTCCGTTTGCTGCTATAACAGCCTCCACTCTTCTGGGAAGGCGTTCCACTAGATGTTGGAACATTGCTGCGGTGACTTGCTTCCATTCAGCCACAAGGGCATTAGTGAGGTCGGCACTGATGTTGGGGCATTGTCATGCTGAAACAGGAAAGGGCCTACCCCAAACTGTTGAAACAAATTTGGAAGCACAGAATCATCTAGAATGTCATTGTATGCTGTAGCGTTAATATTTCCATTCACTGGAACTAAGGGGCCTGGCCTGAACCATGAAAAACAGCCCCAGACCATTATTCCTCCTCCACCAAACTTTACAGTTGACACTATGCATTCGGGCAGGTAGCGTTCCCCTGGCATCCGCCAAACCCAGATTTGTCTGTTGGACTGCCAGATGGTGAAGCGTGATTCATCACTCCAGAGAATGTGTTTCCACTGCTCCAGAGTCCAATGGCGGCGAGCTTTACACCACTTCAGCCGACGCTTGGGATTACGCATGGTGATTTTAGGCTTCTATGAGGCTGCTCGGCCACGGAAACCCATTTCACTAAGCTCCCGACGAACAGTTCTTGTGCTGACGTTGCTTCCAGAGGCAGGTTGGAACTAGGTAGCGAGTGTTGTAACCGAGGACAGACAATTTTTACGCGCTACGCAATTCAGCATTCGCCGGTCCCGTTCTATGAGCTTGTGTGGCCTACCACATCGCGGCTGAGCCATTGTTGCTCCTAGATGTTTCCACTTCACAATAACAGCACAGCACTTACAGTTGACCGGGGCAGCTCTAGCAGGGCAGAAATTTGACGAACTGACTTGTTGGAAAGGTGGCATCCTATGACGGTGCCACGTTGAAAGTCACTGAGCTCTTCAGTAAGGCCATTCTACTGCCAATGTTTGTCTATGGAGATTGCAAGGCTGTGTGATCGAATGTATACACCTGTCAGTAACGGGTGTGTCTGAAATAGCCAAATCCACTAATTTGAAGGGGTGTCCACATACGTTTGTATACACACACACACAAACACACACACAAACACACACACAGTATAGAAAACTTTCCATGACATAGGAATCAAGGGGAATCCAGATGAAAGCCATGATCCCTCATTGATGTCACTTGTTAAATATACTTCAATTAGCGTAGATCAGTAGTCACCAACCTTTTCTGAGTCAAGATCACTTTGAGTCAAAATGCAAGCCAAGATCTACTGCGCAGATTTTTTAAAACATGACTTAAACATTTTATTAAGCCTATGCAACCTTAACCAATTAAAAATAGTTCTCTAGCAATGAGGTTTGTGCAGTAGGCATTATCACTGCATATTGGCTATGCTTGAATTGCCCTGCCAATCTTGTTGTTCTCAGACATTTGAAATGATATAAAAGGGTATATGATCACACTTGTAATAGATAATTTGTTGTATTACTTTTGAGGCACAGCTGAGTGAGCATAATACATTTGCTTTTCTGTTGTTTTAGTGGACTGATGGCCTGCATCTGATGGTCAGTCTGAGGGGAGGGAGGGAGAGGTAGCAGCGGTGAGTCTGCCTCTCACCCGACTCACCGTCCCTCCCTCCCCTGAGAAAAGGGGACACAGTCTTCCAGCTGATGGCTGAATTCAAGTTGCACTGCATTATTTCTGCCTCATGCACCAATTAATGTTGTTACTCCTATGACCAGAGAAAATTAAATATTCCTCGATATTAAAAAAGAGAAGCCGCTAATAATAACAACGCAAGCTTATCGGAACACCTTGCTATACTCATTCATTGCAGCTGCAGTGCTGGTTGTATCGTCAGTGGAAGTAAAAAAAAGCATTTTTGGCTTGTAATTTGTTTTTTACATAGTGTTGTTGACAGTGCTGAATAACAACTTAAACATTAACTTACTCGTGAAAACAGCAGCTCTTTGCTGTATTCGTTGTCTCTCTCTAATCATAGTTTTAAACGTTTTGAAATCTCAGAAGGTACATATGATTTGCTCTCTGGGCCTGCCGGGTAGGCGGAGTTCTACCTTCAGACATATGAAGTGGTTAAACAAGGGAAGACTTTGCCTTCCCGGCGCTAGGGCTGCTGAATCAAGTGCACCTACAGCCAACAGCCCAAAATGAATTAAAAAAATTGGAATGCAAGGCTTTACCGTTGGTTTTTTACAGAAATGTTTGGTGATCAACTAGGAATGCCTTGGAGATCAACCAGTCGATCACGATGGACCGGTTGGTGATCACTGGAGATTGAAATACTGAATTGAATTATATATATATATATATATAAAGTGATAAAGGTTTATAATATGAAAATGTATGCACTCACTAACTGTAAGTCGCTCTGGATAAGAGCGTCTGCTAAATGACTAAAATGTAAATGTAATATGGGAGATGTGTGGAGGCAGACAGGGGACAGTCAGCTGACAGTAGGGAAGCTACAGTGACTTCAAAGTATTCATACCCCTGGACTTATTCCACATTTTGTTGTGTTTCTGTCTGAATTCAAAATGGATTAAATATATATTTTATCTCACCCATCTACACACAATACCCCATAATGACGAAGTGAAAACATGTTTTTAGATTTTTTTTGCAAATGTATTGAAAATAAAATACAGAAATATCTAATTTACGTACAGTTGAAGTCGGAAGTTTACATACACCTTAGACAAATACATTTAAACTCAGTTTTTCACAATTCCTGACATTTAATCCTAGTAAAAATTCCCTGTTATAGGTCAGTTAGGATCACCACTTTATTTTGTCTCTCTCTAATCCGTGGCTTGATGACTCATTGCGAGCTCACAGAACAGAGCTCCGGGCAGCGGAGCGGAAATGGAAGAAAACTAAACTCCCTGCCGACCTGGCATCTTTTCACTCCCTCCTCTCTACATTTTCTTCATCTGTTTCTGCTGCTAAGGCCACTTTCTACCACTCTAAATTCCAAGCATCTGCCTCTAACCCTAGGAAGCTCTTTGCCACATTCTCCTCACTGCTGAATCCCCCCCCCCCCCCTCCTCCCTCTCTGTGGATGACTTCGTCAACCACTTTGAAAAGAAGGTTGACGACATCCGATCCTCGTTTGTTAAGTCTAATGACACTGCTGGTCCTGCTCACACTGCCCTACCCTATGCTTTGACTTCTTTCTCCCCTCTCTCTCCAGATAAAATCTTGCGACTAGTGACTGCAGGCCGCCCAACAACCTGCCCGCTTGACCCCATCCCCTCCTCTCTTCTCCAGACCATCTCCGGTGACCTTCTCCCCTACCTCACCTCGCTGATCAACTCATCCTTGACCGCTGGCCATGTCCCTTCCGTCTTCAAGAGAGCGAGAGTTGCACCCCTTCTCAAAAAACCAACACTCGATCCCACTGATGTCAACAACTACAGTCCAGTATCCCTTCTTTCTTTTCTTTCCAAAACTATTGAGCGTGCCGTCTTTAGCCAACTCTCTTGCTATCTCTCTCAGAATGACCTTCTTGATCCAAACCAGTCAGGTTTCAGGACTGGTCATTCAACTGAGACTGCTCTTCTCTGTGTCACGGAGGCTCTCCGCACTGCTAAAGCTAACTCTCTCTCCTCTGCTCTTGTCCTTCTAGACCTGTCTGCTGCCTTTGATACTGTGAACCATCAGATCCTCCTCTCCACCCTCTCCGAGCTGGGCATCTCCGGCGCGGCTCACTCCTGGATTGCGTCCTACCTGACCGGTCGCTCCTACCAAGTGGCGTGGCGAGAAGCTGTCTCCGCACCACGTGCTCTCACCACTGGTGTCCCCCAGGGCTCAGTTCTAGGCCCTCTCCTTTTCTCCCTATACACCAAGTCACTTGGCTCTGTCATATCCTCACATGGCCTCTCCTATCATTGCTACGCTGACGATACACAACTAATCTTCTCCTTTCCCCCTTCTGATAACCAGGTGGCGAATCGCATCTCTGCATGTCTGGCCGACATATCAGTATGGATGACGGATCACCACCTCAAGCTGAACCCTGGCAAGACGGAGCTGCTCTTCCTCCCGGGGAAGGACTGCCCGTTCCATGATCTCGCCATCACGGTTGACAACTCCGTTGTGTCCTCCTCCCAGAGTGCGAAGAGCCTTGGCGTGACCCTGGACAACACCCTGTCGTTCTCCGCTAACATCAAGGCGGTGACCCGATCCTGCACGTTCATGCTCTACAACATTCGGAGAGTACGACCCTGCCTTACACAGGAAGCGGCACAGGTCCTAATCCAGGCACTTGTCATCTCCCGTCTGGATTACTGGATTACTGCAACTCGCTGTTGGCTGGGCTCCCTGCCTGTGCCATTAAACCCCTACAACTCATCCAGAATGCCGCAGCCCGTCTGGTGTTCAACCTTCCCAAGTTCTCTCACGTCACCCCCCCTCCTCCGCACACTCCACTGGCTTCCAGTTGAAGCTCGCATCCGTTACAAGACCATGGTGCTTGCCTATGGAGCAGTGAGGGGAACGGCACCTCCGTACCTTCAGGCTCTGATCAGTCCCTACACCCAAACGAGGGCATTGCGTTCATCCACCTCTGGCCTGCTGGCTCCCCTTCCTCTGCGGAAGCATAGTTCCCGCTCAGCCCAGTCAAAACTGTTCGCTGCTCTGGCACCCCAATGGTGGAAAAAGCTTCCTCACGACGCCAGGACAGCGGAGTCACTCACCACCTTCCGGAGACATTTGAAACCCCACCTCTTTAAGGAATACCTGGGATAGGATGAAGTAATCCTTCTAGCCCCCCCCCCCCCCAAAAAAAAAAAAATGTGTAAAGTGGTTAACCCACTGGCTATAGGGTGAATGCACCAATTTGTAAGTCGCTCTGGATAAGAGCGTCTGCTAAATGACTTAAATGTAAATGTAAATGTATTTTAAGAATGTGAAATGTCAGAATAATAATAGAGAGAATGATTTATTTCAGCTTTTATTTCTTTCATCACATTCCCAGTGGGTCAGAAGTTTACATACACTCAATTAGTATTTGGTAGCATTGCCTTTGAAATTGTTTAACTTGGGTCAAACATTTTGGGTAGCCTTCCACAAGCTTCCCACAATAAGTTGGGTGAATTTTGGCCCATTCCTCCTGACAGAGCTGGTGTAATGAGTCAGGTTTGTAGGCCTCCTTGCTTGCACACGCTTTTTCAGTTCTGCCCACACATTTTCTATAGGATTGAGGTCAGGGCTTTGTGATGGCCACTCCAGTACCTTGACTTTGTTGTCCTTAAGCCATTTTGCCACAACTTTGGAAGTATGCTTGGGGTCATTGTCCATTTGGAAGACCCATTTGCGACCAAGCTTTAACTTCCTGACTGATGTCTTGAGGTGTTGCTTCAATATATCCACATAATTTTCCTTCCTCATGATGCCATCTATTTTGTGAAGTGCACCAGTCCCTCCTGCAGCAAAGCACCCCCACAGCATGATGCTGCCACCCCCGTGCTTTGCGGTTGGAATGGTGTTCTTTGGCTTGCAAGCTCCCCAATTTTCCTCCAAACGTAACAATTGTCATTATGGCCAAACAGTTCTATTTTTGTTTCATCAGACCAGAGGACATTTCTCCAAAGAGTACGATCTTTGTCACCATGTGCAGTTGCAAACCGTAGTCTGGATTCTTTATGGTGGTTTTGGATTAGTGGCTTCTTCCTTGCTGATCGGCCTTTCAGGTTATGTCGATATAGGACTCGTTTTACTGTGGATATAAATACTTTTGTACCTGTTTCCACCAGCATCTTCACAAGGTTCTTTGCTTTTGTTCTGGTATTGATTTGCACTTTACGCACCAAAGCGCGTTCATCTCTAGGAGACAGAACTCGTCTCCTTCCTGAGCGGTATGACGGCTGCGTGGTCCCATGGTGTTTATACTTACGTACTATTGTTTGTACAGATGAACGTGGTACCTTCAGGCGTTTGGAAATTGCTCCCAATGATGAACCAGACTTGTGGAGGTCTACCATTTTTTTTTTTTTAGGTCTTGGCTGATTTCTTTTGATTTTCCCATGATGTCAAGCAAAGAGGCACTGAGTTTGAAGGTAGGCCTTGAAATACATCCACAGGTACACCTCCAATTGACTCAAATGATGTCAATTAGCCTATCAGAAGCTTCTAAAGCCATGACATCATTTTCTGGAATTTTCCAAGTTGTTTAAAAGGCACAGTCAACTTAGTGTTTGTAAACTTCTGACCCATTGGAATTGTGATACAGTGAATTATAAGTGAAATAATCGGTCTGTGAACAATTGTTGGAAAAATTACTTGTGTCATGCACAAAGTAGATGTCCTAACTGACTTGCCAAAACTATAGTTTGTTAACAATAAATGTGTGGAGTGGTTGAAAAATGAGTTTTAATGACTCCAAGTGTATGTAAACTTCCGACTTCAACTGTAAGTATTCACACCCCTAAATCAATAATTTGTAGGAGCACCTTTGGCAGCAATAACAGATGTGAGCCTTTCTGGGTAGGTCTCTAAGAACATTCCACACCTGGATTGTGCAACATTAGCCCATTATTATTTTCAAAATTCTTCAAGCTCTGCCAAATTGGTTGTTGATCATTGCTAGACAACCATTTGTAGGTCTTGCCATAGATTTTCAAGTAGATTTAACTCAAAACTGTAACTCTGCCACTCAGGAACATTCACTGTCTTCTTGGTAAGCAACTCCAGTGTAGATTTGGTCCTTGTGTTTTAGGTTATTGTCCTCCTAAATGGTGAATTAATCTCCCAGTGTCTGGTGGAGAGCAGACTGAACCAGGTTTTCATCTAGGATTCTGCCTGTGCTTAGCTCCATTCCATTAATTTTTTATCCTGAAAAATTCCCCAGTCCTTAACTATTACAAGCTTACCCATAACATGATGCAGCCCCACTATACTTTAAAATATGGAGAGTGGTACTCAGTAATGTGTTGTATTGGATTTGCCCCAAACATAACACTTTGTATTCAGGACAAAAAGTTAATTGCATTGCCACATTTTAGCAGTATTACTTTGTGCCTTGTTGCAAACAGGATGAATGTTTTGAAATATTTTTATGTACAGGCTTCCTTCTTTTCACTCTGTCAATTATGTTAGCATTGTGGAGTAACTACAATGTTGTTGATCCATCCTCAGTTTTCTCCTATCACAGCCATTAAACTCTAACTGTTTTAAAGTCACCATTGGCCTCATGGTAGAATCATTGAGCGGTTTCCTTCCTCTCCGGCAACTGAGTTAGGAAGGACGCCTGTATCTTTGTAGTGACTGGGTGTATTGATACACCATCCAAAGTGTAATTCATAACTTCATCATGCTCAAAGGGATACTCAATGGCTGCTTTTTATTTTTATTTTGACCCACCTACCAATAGGTGCCAGTATTTGCGAGGTATTGGAAAACCTCCCTGGTTTTTGTGCTTGAATCTGTGCTTGAAATTCACTGCTCGGCTGAGGGACCTTACAGATAAATGTATGTGTGGGGTACAGAGATGAGGTAGTCATTCAAAAATCATGTTAACCACTATTATTGAACACAGCGTGAGTCCATTTAACTTATGTGACTTGTTAAGCACATGTTTACTCCTGAACTTATTTAGGCTTGCCATAATAAAAGGTGTCTAAATACTTATTGACTCAAGACATTTCAGCTTTCAATTTTCATCAATGTTTTGAAATGTTGAAAAACACAATTCCACTTTGACATTATGGGGTATTATTGCGTGTAAGCCAGTGGAAAAAAAATCTAAATTTAATCCATTTTAAATTCAGGCTGTAACGCAACAAAATGTGGAAAAGGTCAAGGGGTGTGAATAGTTTCCGAAGGCACTGTATAGGTAACTATGAATGGAGGAGTGACTGTGGTTTAGGAGGTCAGAGGCCAGGCTCACCGATGTCTTCCACGGTGAAGATGACCTCGTCATAGAGATTGTCCTGATCTCCAGAGCGGAGTTGGACACTGTAGGTCATCCAGACCTTCGTGTAGCTTTCATTGAAGAAGCACTCGTCTATCCTGTCAGCCATGTAGTTAGGACACTCACTCCACTCTTTGGGAGATATGCTGCAGGCATGGGGAGACAACATGGGGGTTTTAATACTGTGCTAATTGCAGGAAAGACTGACATCATGCACCTGACATGTAGGTAAGAGGGGGAGACTCACATACAGTTTATAACTACAAATGATTTCACAAGAAACATTTATTTGGCTCTCATCAGTGGACAAATATCTTCTTTATTTCATTTCAGCCATCAGAATGTTTCTCTCCCTTACTTAGGGAACCTTTTTTCTCTCACTTCTTGTTATTGATGTAGTAGAACATCCGCAGGTCTCTGGGTTCTGTGAGGTTCTGGAATGTTCCGACATTCCATCTGCAGCGGAACGTGTTCATGTCATGGGAGACACAGCCAGTGATCTGGGGGCGGATCTGGGGCAGGGCTGAGAGGGAGAGCGTGAGAAAGAGAGCGAGGTGAGCACAGACAGTCTATAAGGCTTGCAGCAGTCAAACCTCTAACTTAAACATTAACTTTGCGCCTATTTTTAATTATCCTAAAATTATACACACCCAGTCTAATTGACCTATGCCCGTTGCTGTATATAGAGATAATTTACAGGGCTGAGTTGCTCTTCATGTGTAAGACAAACAGAGCTTAACATAACTCCTCCGAGTGGCATAGCCGCAGGGCGGACAGCTGCATTTTCTGGAAGTATCCGCAGACCTCTAAATCTGTCAGCCAGACTTTACTGCCCACAGGACTTTCAGGGAAATCCTCTCCGTTACCGGTCCTCAGAACTACACTTACATAGTACAAGGTGTGAAACCTCCACTCACAGTAATGGACATTACTGTTCAGAGATCTTCTGTTTCTGAAGGAAATGACAGCTGACAATTAAATTGCTCAGTTGGAACGATTTTCTTAGAAGTCAATTACTACTACACATGAAACGCTGTAATATTGTCTATCTTGTTACCTTCTGCTCCTAGAGATAATAAAGGAACCGAGAAATAAGCTGTAGGAATGGTAAATGATCATTCTATCTTGTTTATGACAGGTAAGTGCTGTCCTGGTCTCTGTGCAATTATTATACTAATGTTGTCCTCGGAGAGAGGGGAGCTTTAGGTAAACACTCCGGTCTGTTCACAGCCCTGAGGAGGCACTTAAGTACCATATCCCATAATGACACTGAGAAGAGCTGTCAGTCTACCACATCAACACTGATGAGAGGGACACCACAACAGCAGATTGAAGGGCCCTGTCGCCTAGGGAGAAGGCAGCTTCAAAAGGTGTATGGCTCTTCTGAGGAGTGATGCATACCACTTGCTTGGTTAGCAGCTCAACAAGGTGGGGGAGGGGCGCAAAGGTTAAAAATAACCTGTTTACCAGATCCTTTCCTACCAGGAACTTACTCTGAATTAAGAGAAAAAATCAATCCAACACTTGGCTACGCTCAAGGGTTTCATACTAGGTACATTTCCTGTGACTGATTAGGATTCAGGATAAGTGGTGTGTGTGTGATGTGCAGAAATTGAGACTCTACATCTACTACTATATCCAGTCCCCATTTTGACTTACCCAATATTTTCTGAATGTAAATGTGCACGTGTAAATATATATGTGAGTACTTGTGAATGTTCTTGAATGTGTACGTGAGTGAGTGCTGTTTGCTTAGTGTCGACCAAGTTCAGGTCACTAGTTTTCACAAAAGCAAACATGCGCAGCAGATATCACTGGCTCCAACAGGACGTTGAAGCTCTAACTAAAATATAACTTTCAGTTCCAGTTATTCTAGTATTTCCAGTCGCTGGAGGTGAACTCTTTTCCATTACAACCTGTTTACCCTGACATCCCTGAAGTGCAGAGTTTTGTATAATGATACAAAACGTCCTCCTTTATCTCGTAAATTACTCATCTCTCACATTAGGACTGAAAAGTCAAAACATTCATCATGACTAATCAAAGGAAAGAGAGCGTTGTGTTTGATTGGCTGCTGCATAATTGGAGGGACGGAGGGAGGAAATGGCTATTTTAATCAAGGGGCTTCTAAATACACATGCAAGGAGTGCTAGAACTGGATGCTTTATAGAGGCAAATTCACTATTATCTCTCTCCTATGTACGTCACTGACATATCCCATATACACATACACAATTATACAAATGAAAGAGATGGTGCTATTGCCTTAACAACCTCTTGATGTTGTTTCTCCTCATTTGGAGTGATGTTTGCGCAACGTGGAGTATTTAATAAATGGCCTCCCGAAGAGCATGGAGGCCAGTGGTTATTTAGAGAGTCACGTGTTCAAGCTTCATCAATCAGCTGCCTTGGCTGTCAGGAGAGCGCACTTCGTCACCCTCCGCATTTCTTCCCTCCGTCCCTATTATTACCGAGCAGCTGTACAAACACAACCCTCTCTTTCCCTTTGATTAAAGTCATGATGAATGTTTTGACTTTTCAGTTCTAACGTGAGAGAGTAATTCATGAGATAGTGTCCAAAAATAAATATGCATCTAAAATAAATGTACAGCGAGCATTTACCTGTTCTGTTCTGTTCCAGAAATCAAAGCGAATTACATGTGCAATGTGCCATTTTCTCCACTTATGGTAGAGGAAAGCTTGAGTAAAGTGAAGGACAGCTGTTACATATTGTACTTATGTGGACACTTAAATGTGGACACTTTAAAGCAGTAGCTGCAACCAATATATTCCCCTTCAATTGAACAGCTTTAAAGCACTGGGAGGTTTATTTCTGTCTGTGTCCCCACCTCTTGCACTGTTTGTTCTCTGCCCATCAATTTCCCTCAGACAATAATCTCTTTGGCAGGAGTACTGCTGATTCTCAGAAAAAAAATGGTCAAGTATATTTTTCTCTGGGATCTCAAATTCTTTCACCCATTCTGACAGAGTGAAGTAACACTTACTGGAAACAGAGGAACTTTGTCAAAGCAACACTGTCAAAGCCTATACAAATCTGAGACAAAACAGACTCCCGGTAGAGGGAAAGCCTCTATTCAATCAGTCAGCGCTAAAGAGTTCTAATATATAACGTGTATATATGAAAAAACACTTACGAAAGTGTGACTTATGATGAAAGTGTGACTTCATCATAAAGGCCTGACCCACCTAGGAATAAAACTTCCTGCACTCAAACTTTGTTCATTCAACACTGTCTGTTGAGAGGGGGCCTCTGAATATCTAAACAGTTCCCCACAGTGCACCACTCACTGCTCCCACACTGCCCCCTCCAGAATTCCTGGGAATCCAGTTCCTGGAAAGTACTCGATGTGCAGCGTGCCCCGTGCAACACTATGTGCCCATGCGTGCATGCTTATTTTGAGAACATGTTCTAACAGATTGTATTAGTCTGTAAAATACACTAAACACAGTGCCATTGCATTATCATAAAACATATTATAGAGTTTTCATAAATATGCCTTAAAAATTGACTTGATGGATCAGCTTCTCACATAAGCTATATTTAAATCGACACATGAAATTATGGCTGATAGCACATTTGTTGAAAGTAATGAGCATTACAAACCAGAAACATGGAGATAAGACAGATAGTGTGCACTTCTCACAAGCTGTTACTTCCATCCCAAGGCTGTGTTACTCTCGCCCTGCCGGCAGGTACAAAAGTAACATTGCAGTAGTTCTGGTCTTGGTCTATTTAATTTCAGCTCATTTACCCTAGAGATGAAATTACAGTTGCTAATGGTAGAGGACACATATATTAAGTTGTTTGTCATAAAATATGGTGTCTCTAGCTCTATCGATCTCTGCGTAATTAGGGAAAAAACTAAAAGTGTTACTTTCATCCCGGTTATCCCCTCCCCCTATGTATATAATACTACATAGTGTACATACAAGACTGTCCTAACTACGAATTCTACATGCATAGGAAGTACTTGACTTCTAGGAATCTGATTGGTCTGTATTGATTGTCCAGTGAAAGGAAAGCCCCTCTGGTTTGGTCTGGTTCATCATTAATCAAAGGTACCTTGTTCAGAAGTGGGCGGCTCCTGCGATACAACTGCAAGGATGAGGAGAAGGCAGATGAAGAGAATGTGGGAGGTTGCCATGCTGTTCATCCCTAGAAAAACATGAGAGAAGAGTTAGAGTAATTTGACAGCGTTAACCCCACTGAACCATCACTCTAAAGCTGGCCCGCTGTCATTAAGTAGGGTGTGCTTACAACCCATAAACTTAACTGTACACCGAAACATACAGTATAAGTCCAGAGTCTGGTACTGTGATCCCCACCATTGCCTATGTTTTGTATATGTTTTCATAGTAGCTTATCTATTCTACTAGGTCTCAACATATCATTCGCTGCATTTGAGCCCATTGTCCCGTCTGAATATTATGTTACATTCTTGAAACTTGAACTCTGAGCTTCCATGAAACAGACTGCTCTCCCACTATACACTGAGTATAAAAAACATTAAGAACACCTGCTCTTTCAATTACATAGAGTGACCAGGTGAAGCTATGATCACTTATTGCTGTCACTTGTTAAATCCACTTCAATCAGGGGAGGAAGGGGAGGAAACAGGTTAAAAAAATGGTTAAGCCTTGAGACAATTGAGACATGGATTGTGTATGTGTGCCATTCAGAGGGTGAATGGGCAAGACAAAATATTTAAGTGCATTTGAACAGGGTATGGCAGTAGATGCCAGGCACACTGGTTTGTGTCAAGAACTGCAACACGGCTGGGTTTTTCCACACTCAACTGTTTACCGTGTGTATCAAGAATGGTCCACCACCTAAATGACATCCATCCAACTTGACAGAACTGTGGAAAGCATTGGAGTCAACATGGGCCAGCATCCCTGTGGAACGCTTTCGAACACCTTGTAGAGTCCATGCCCCAACGAAATGAGGCTGTTCTGAGGGAAAAGGTGTTCCTAATGTTTGGAATACTCAGTGTATACAGTAACTGGACACTCCAAGGGAGATCCGAAAAAGAAAATAAGTTTACATTTTCCTGGTGCATTCCGCCTGATAGTAAATTTGAACATAAACAGAGGAGTAGATCTTACCGAAGAAGTTATATAAATGACACAATAATGAATACAAAATTATACAAACTAGGTCTTTATTTTTTATTTTGTGATATCCAAATTGGTAGTTACGATCTTGTCTCATCGCTGCAACTCCCCAATGGGCTCGAGAGAGCGAGGCTAAGGTCGAGTCATGCGTCGTCCGAAACATGACCCGCCAAGCCACGCTGCTTCTTAACACCTGCTCGCCTAAGCCGGAAGCCAGCCCCACCAATGTGTAGGAGGAAACACTGTTCAACTGACGACTGAAGTCAGCTTGCAGCCCGGCCAGCCACAAGGAGTCGCTAGAGCACGATGAGCCAAGAAAAGCCCACCCCGGCCAAACCCTTCCCTAAACCGGACGACGCTGGCCCAATTGTGCGCCGCCCTTTGAACCCCAGTCTGTAGTGACGCCTCAGTACTGCGATGCAGTGCCTTTGACCACTACCTCACTCGGGAGGCCACAAACTATAGCTGTGTTCGAATACTCATACTAACCGCACTAACCTTACTATTTGTGATGTAAATTGAGTATGTAGTATGCTTATTGGTCATAGTATGGATATAGTTAGTATGCCAAAAGTTCCCTTGATGTCTTCTACATTCACCAAAATAAAAAGTCAATTCCTGGTTTTCCTGGGGGGTATTGAGTTTGACCGTTCGGTCGCGTTACGAAACATGACAAAGTCAACAGTCCACTGCTGAACATGACATTCAAGATCTGCAGCAAAACAACTCTGGGCTGGGTTGTGTCCAGCACTTGTCTGTGAAATCAATCCCTCCTACATCCTGGCCCGATTCCAGTTGTTTTCCCCTCTCTATGGAAAATATAGGCGTTCTTCTCAAACAACAATCCTCTAATTTTTCTTCAATCTTCACTATTGCTGTATGCCAACCAAAACATTTCAGTTTTTAAAAAACTGCAGCAGAGTGGGAGATGTTAATCTTAACGACAAACAGATTTGTATGAGTTTGTTTTCACTGAAAGATTATCTGGGAAAACAGAGAAGAAATCGAGGGGGAGAGAGGATATGGGAGGGGTGTGGGGAAGGAATAGCTGAAGAAAGGAGAATGGGGCACCAACACCACAATAACAATGGTCTAAATAGCTACATATTTAAGTGTGGTGTACTAAGACACTTCTTGTTGTTGTCTTCTTGTTGTTTTCTACAAACAGCATTTAAAGTAGAAACTCAAGAGGGCATATGTTTTACTACTGTAAATGCCTATCCATTAAAAAACATGTTTTTTTTGTAATTTAGCAGACACTCTTATCCAGAGCGACTTAACAGTGTGAGTATATACATTTTTGTACTTTTTCCATACTGGTCCCCTGTGGGAATCGAACCCAAAACCCTGACGTTGCACTACATCACGAACAGACTTTTATCCCCAACAAGTCCGTTTGGTAGAAACACACCACTGGTGGGAAAATTCACATATTTTGTTTTTGCTGATTTTTGAATATTTGCATGAAAATCTGTCGCCAATTGGTTGGAAACCTAGCTAATTATGGGGCAGACAATGTTTCAGAAGGAAAAGTAAGGAGTACTGCGCGGAGTATTGCCCATTGATTCACAGCAAGTTTTTTTGTTTTGTAGGAGCCCTAATCCATACTACACACAATTACCTGTAGTGTGAACCAATGGTAAATATAACTCCCGACCATAAGCAGAAAACTTAAATTTGGATGTGTTTATTTTCTGTATTAATCAACTGACAGTGTGAGCCATTGCATGCTGCACTCTGTCTCCTCAATCTAGAATCCCCACAGGAGACATAATGGGTACACAATGAACACCAGCAGTAATGACAACAATGACTTTGTCTTCATTTCTGTTTAACTGTCTGGCAAAGGGCCCAAGGGACAATTACACTAAAGAGGGTGGCAGATAATAACATCTGTTCAAAAGTGGTTAAGACCTTTCAGTAGAAAAGTAATTATGTCAATCACAGTGGGAATTTGGTCATTTAAATGTACACATTCATATTGTATTGATATTTTTGTATGTTTGAGATGGCATATCTTTTTTCCTTAATACGTACACAGGCAAATTATCATTTAGACAGATTGTTGATACCTTAATAATTCAACAAACATTACATTTTTTATTTTATATGAGGACAGTCATGTGTTTCAGTCTCCATCTGAAGAGTTGAAGGTACTGCATGCAAAAATGATTCAGAGGGTTATCATTTATCAATGGATATAAATAAAGACATCAGTGTAATAGGTGATTACTCATTATGTACTTTGGCAGTGTCAACTCTTCTTATGAGGCCGCCATATCTGTTATTTTCTTTCATTTGGTGTAGGCTACAATTATGAATACAAAACGTGACTTTTAAAAATATATACAAAGTGACTTCAAATATTTTAAATATTGTAATTAACCCAGGCTAGTGTGTTTAGATTTATTTCAGTAATTTATGTGCGGCTTGCTTCGCCTATTTACTTTTCGGCACACATTTTACATATAGGCCTACAGGGTTTCTATTTAGACTTTGGAATAATTCAATTGACCAATAATTAATAGGCTAATTACATTTTGAGAGATTGGTTTGAAATTGAGCCATACGGCTTTAAATTAACCGAACATGCACATATGCAGTAGAGATTGTATATAGCCTACCGTGAACAACAAAATACTATCATCATAACAGTAGGATAGGCCTACTAGACCAAATTTTCCCAAACTCGGTCCTGGGGCCCCCGGGTATACGTTTTGTTTTTTGCATTAGAACTAAACAGCCGATTCAAAAAATTAAAACTTGATGATAAATTGGTTATTTGAATCAGCTGTGTAAAGTTATGGCAAAACCCAAACGGGGGGGAGTTTGACAAAATCCTGAACTAGCCCAGTTAGCAATGAGCAATCGAGAGGCTGGCGTCTACTCACCATATAAGCAAGTTGTAAATCGCTGCTGTTTTCTTCAACGCTTGATCAAGCGGAACACTCGTCTCAGCCACGGGCTGCGATCTGCTAGACCACCACCAAAAACGGTCACGCCTTGGAAGAAAAAATCCCCAAACTCAACATTTAAACGTTACCATATTCCAAAAATGACATATTGTAGCAAGACGCATAGCTTTCTCTATCTTGTACACTCTTCCCCTTGAATCAATTCTGTCAATCTGCGGATGCGCGCTCTGCTTGCGTTAGTGCTGCCATTAAGGGGATTCGATTAATGTGGCCCGGGTAGGCATGTCTTGCACCGGGTAAAAATAGATTGCATTCGTTCGTGAGCCAGGTGTCCAGTTCAAAACCTATGGCAAAGTCGGTTAGAAACAAAAGGGATGTGGGCCTGAAACATGAGTGATATAGACCTAATTAATCACGTGGAGTAATGAGTAGGATTCTGTGTTTTCATATGCAAAAGTGATTGCTTTTGATAAAAACGCGTTATCTGCCTCCCCAATGAAAACTAGTTTGAAAATTCAAACATAAGAGATTTATGTTTCTGGATGATGCACCATGCTGCCTTGTTGACAACACAACCGAGCTGCGCAGATTAGGCTAGTGTTCGATTTGAGAAGTCGGCGCCTCCCTCACCATGTTTTCGGGTTCAAATCACAGGCCCAGGACCAGATTAAGACATTTGCAAAAGGCAAACTGATAACCATATAAATATATAAATTTATAATAATGGCAGTTCCCATTCAAGTCAGGACTGGCAGCCATTGCTAGTGTACCCATTAGTTTAACAGTCAAATTGCCAGGTAAAGAGGTTCCAAAACCCTTCTATGGGTCCTCTGTAGCTCAGTTGGTAGAGCACGGTGCTTGTAATGCCAAGGTAGTGGGTTCGATCCCCGGGACCACCCATACACAAAAAATGTATGCACGCATAACTGTAAGTCGCTTTGGATAAAAGCGTCTGCTAAATGGCATATTATTATAAATCTATGGCCACAACACAACACACTGGTCTATATTTGGCTCGCATGCTGCCCAAATTGCGGCCCTCCCGACAGTAGGAATACAGTATGTGCTTGTAATAACTTAAACCACAGCAATTTTTTAGAAGCTATTGATCATCTGTGGCAAAATAATGGTCTCTGGTGTATTTTGAACATTGAGAGCAGGCTCCTGTGGTTGGCGGTTGCAGTAAAACATTTATTATTATTTTTTTACTACGGCCCCCTACAAGCCCCTGCATTAATCCGGCCCATAGACCGGTGCCTAGCGGCTCAGCATAATCGAATCCACCGCCCTGTGGCATCATGAAAGCGCCAGCTGCTGGTGAATATTTAACATAACAGGCAAGACTACAAATCATTTCGGAGTTGTTTACTCATTTTACACACCAAAATTACATACCCTACAGTTCAGACATGAGTAGAAACCTTTGTCATAATATACGCCTTGTGACAAATGTCCACAATTCTTTTACGGGACTGCCTTTCGAGATTGGGCAAGTTGTTTTTCTTGTAAGTAGGCTATGACGTCTTCAATGTCTGCTCCCACAGACACACGTGGCGGCTATGGGACAAGTGAGGCCCATACATTGATTTAGGACCCCATTCCCGTTTCTTCTTTCCTCTCAGTATGGATTGAAGAGTTCAATGAAGTGGAATACTCGCTTTCACCTATTCAACTTTATCATATTACAAGGCTACAAGGGAGGGGGTGAGTGCATATTTAAAGTATTTGAACCCCCAGTCTCACCTACTAGAGTGGGCATAGCCTGCACACTGAAGTGCACTCACAGCTGCAAGACAAACATTTAGCAGGCCTAATTTTGGACATTTATTTAGTTGGACAGTGTATACCATGTGTATCCTGTACATACAACTAGTAAAACTTGAAAGTATTCCATGTTTTCTATGTTGGTTGGTTGGTTGGTTGAGGGATTATGTTATGGAAAGTAGCATATGCTTTTGACTTTTTTCCCTTAACCAAACAAATCATAGCAGCTGTGGTAAATCTTTGTCTAGATTACTCAAATTACAGTAGATGGAATACATTCTCCTCTCATGCCACTCAGCCCTGGGAGAGGTTATATTATCTAAAGAGATAGGGTCTGGAGATGTATTCCTTCACAGAGCTTCCCCAGTGTTCAGAGTCATTATCTCGCTGGCTCTAGAGAGAGTGTTTGGCATGTGAGCCCCTGACTCAACTCAACATGTCAACACCATCTCTGAAGTCTGTCAAGTGAGACTCCCTACCCTCCATGCACATGCTCTCATAAATAGACAATCTCTCTCTAACAAAAAAACAAACATTTTATGGCCTAACAAAGTTTGGAATCGAAAGCTTGAAATACTTCTCTAGATGTGGTCTTCCATGTTGATCCTGTGATTATGCTACCTGGTCTGATGCCTTTTTAGGTTTACACTTGAATGGGGCGAAACAGGGTCAAGCCCTTTCACCAAGGTGCTTTGAAAGCCTCTCTATTTAAAACTTTAGGTTAATGTGGTACTAATAAGCAGCATCACTTTTAATTGGTCAATTCCTCTGTCACTCCAGGGATGCCCCCACCCCTTCTGGCCTGATTGCTGACTGGGCCTAGGGGGAATGACCTGTATTTCAAACCTCCACCACTCAGTTTTCTGAAAAAGACTGACAGACAGATTCCGAAAATGGCGTCCTTCAGAATTCTGTCAAAATCAGAGCAATTTCATAGAAGTATATCTTCAGTGAGAAGACAAAAAGGAATACTGTCTGTGCAGTATGGCAAGGTATGAGCACCTTTATAATTTTATTACAACATCAACTGTATGTGTATTATATGTGTATAATAAACCTGAACATGATGTAATATGTTGTTTAATAATCCAGTATATCAAGCTAGTATTGTATTGCTCCATACACAATGCAACGATAGTGTGCTAAATTGTGACTATTGATACTGTTTAGTGGTATGGAGCTGTTCTGAACCTCTCAAGTGTTTTATTCTTGTCTCTGAAGTTCATACAGTATGTGGGAGTGCTATAATAGTGTGGATGGGTCACTCAGAGTTCAAATGGATGACAACTGTCTGAGTGGAGAGCATTAGAATAAATAAAGTAGGAAACCTACAAGCTTTTCTACAAGTTTTTATTCTAGAATTAATCCTAGTCCATGAGAGCAACCAGGCATAGGGCTACTTGAATCACTTTGAATTTTAAAAAAATGCCACAACTCCTTAACATACCTTTTTCCCTCACAAAATGGGGGCATGAAGGAGGGGATTGAACTAACTCTATTGGTTCACTGGTAAAATCCAGGTTTACTGTGATGTCCTTGTCCAAATTGTCATGTGGTTATTTCAGTGTGTTCCTCACCCCCAGGTGTATGGCTGTTACTTCTCCTCCTCCTGCCCCAGGGATGCACGTTTCTTTACCGACCCCACAGAGGCAGTGAAAGACATCCCAGATGGCTCCACTCTACTGGTGGGAGGTAGCATACTGTGCCTGCTCTCAGGCCTTTTTCATCACATAGTCATGCTTTGGTCAAATGTCAAATTCAAACGTTTTGCGTTTCTATCCTCACACATTTCTTCTGCTTCTGGGAAAACAATAAGTCATATTTGTTTAAGCGCAAATCATTAACATTCCATGTCTGCGCTTGTACATTATTTTTGGGTAATGTAAAGGATAATTCAGAGTTTAATGTATTCTTGTGAATGTTTTCCAGGGTTTGGTTTATGTGGAATACCAGAGAATCTGATTTGGAGTTTATTGAAGACTGGAGTGAAAGGTATCACAGCAGTCAGCAACAACGCTGGGTAATTAGGCTACTACAAAATGAGTGTGTGTGCATGTGCCTTTGAGTATGGTTGTTTTTGTGCATGTGTTGTATGTATCTAAGCAAGATAGAAATGTATTTGTGTTATTCTAATGTGGATAAATCTGTGTGTGTCTATGCAGGGTGGATAATTTTGGTCTTGGTCTGCTGCTGAGGACCAAGCAGATCAAGCGGATGATTTCCTCCTACGTTGGGGAAAATGCAGAGTTTGAGAGACAGTACCTTTCAGGGGAACTGGAGGTGGAGCTAACTCCTCAGGTTAGACTCTGATGATTGTGTGTCATTCTAAAGTAATTTCTCCATCTGGTTGGTAATGAAAAGTTATTTGCCTGTCATGCTCGCTAAAATAAGTTTATAACATGTTTGTATCTTGTTATAGCCTACATGTTAGATTGTGTTATGATCTTCTTATACCATGCTTGTTACATCTACTTAAGGGCACCCTGGCAGAGAGGGTACGTGCCGGCGGTGCTGGGGTCCCTGCCTTCTTCACACCCACTGGGTATGGCACACTGATCCAGAAGGGAGGCTCACCCATCAAATACAACACAGACGGCAGTGTGGCCATCGCCAGCAAGAAGAGAGAGGTATGCAAACACACACACACACAGATATTCATATTGAACCTTTATTTACCCAGGATAGTGTCACTGACATGACATATTTTTTCCAAGAAAGACCTGGTCATATTAGAGAGGTAGAGGGAGGTTGAACACTATGGGGTCAACTCAGCTTTTACTCCTGACCCTGACACATGTGATGTCATTATCCCACAGGTTAGGGAGTTCAATGGCATCCACTATGTCATGGAGAGAGCCATCACAGGGGACTTTGCTCTGATCAAGGCCTGGAAAGCTGATAGAGCCGGAAACATTGTGTTCAGGTGGGGTTGGCAGATTTTTCAACAACCTTCACAACAATCATCATAAGAACGTGTTATATTCAAACTCCACAAGAGGTCAGCATTTTCTAGCATTATGTTGCGCCACAGCTAGTGCTAACATTCGAAATCAATTTCAACAGACAACTGTCACTGTGAATGATTATATAGTTAATGCACGGACTCGACTGAGTATCATGAAAAGTTTATTGTATGCTGATATGCTGTCTTTGTCTTTCTACAGGAAAACAGCACGGAACTTCAACCAGCCCATGTGTAAAGCAGCTAAAGTCACCATAGTGGAGGTTAGCATGTCAATGAACCAGTTTCAATTAACAGTTACTTCAACTATCATGTGTGGCCTAAAAGTTTCCTGAACCTTACCCCAAACTTTTAAACCCTAACTGGTCTTCGGTGACTGCTGCCTTAGGTAGAAGAGATTGTAGATGTGGGGACCTTTGCTCCTGAAGATATCCATGTCCCCAGCATCTATGTGGACAGGATCGTGAAGGGGGCGGGCTATGAGAAGAGGATAGAGGTATGCCTGCCTGCCTGTTTGTCTGTCGCAGGTACTGTGTAATCAGTTGTTTTCTCTGTGTTATTGATTGGCAATAATCCCTGGTCACTGTGCAGAAGAGGACGGTCCAGAAAGGCTGTATGGAGACGCCCAAACCCAAGAGCAAGGCAGACCTGCTCAGAGAGAGGATCATCAGGAGGGCAGCGCTGGAGTTCCAGGATGGGATGTATGGTATCCTTTACACAGGATCAGGGCCAGAGGGAACAGTGTGGATTGATATTGATACATGTGAGGTACAGTGCATTCAGAAAGTATTCAAACCCCTTGACTTTTTCCACATTTTGTTAGGTTACAGCCTTATTCTAAAATGGGTTAAATAATAAATGTTCCTCATCAATCTACACAGGTCCTAATCCAGGCACTTGTCATCTCCCGTCTGGATTACTGCAACTCGCTGTTGGCTGGGCTCCCTGCCTGTGCCATTAAACCCCTACAACTCATCCAGAAGGCCGCAGCCCGTCTGGTGTTCAACCTTCCCAAGTTCTCTCACGTCACCCCGCTCCTCCGCACACTACACTGGCTTCCAGTTGAAGCTCGCATCTGCTACAAGACCATGGTGCTTGCCTACGGAGCTGTGAGGGGAACGGCACCTCCGTACCTTCAGGCTCTGATCAGTCCCTACACCCAAACGAGGGCATTGCGTTCATCCACCTCTGGCCTGCTGGCTCCCCTACCTCTGCTGAAGCACAGTTCCCGCTCAGCCCAGTCAAAACTGTTCGCTGCTCTGGCACCCCAATGGTGGAACAAGCTCCCTCACGACGCCAGGACAGCGGAGTCACTCACCACCTTCCGGAGACATTTGAAACCCCACCTCTTTAAGGAACACCTGGGATAGGATAAAGTAATCCTTCTAATCCCCCCCCCCCCCCAAATAAAATAAATAAATAATAATAATTGTAAAGTGGTTATCCCACTGGCTATAAGGTGAATGCACCAATTTGTAAGTCGCTCTGGATAAGAGCGTCTGCTAAATGACGTAAATGTAAATGTAAATGTATTCACCCCCCCCCCCAAGTCAATACTTTGTAGAGCCACCTTTTGCAGCAATTACAGCTGCAAGTCTCTTGGGGTATGTCTCTATAAGCTTGGCACATCTAGCCACTGGGATTTTTGCAAATTCTTCAAGGCAAAACTGCTCCAGCTCCTTCAAGTTGGATGGGTTCCGCTGGTGTACAGCAATCTTTAAGTCATAGTCTCAAATCTCTGGAAGACTGAAACAGGTTTCCCTCAAGAATTTCCCTGTGTTTAGCGCCATCCATCATTCCTTCAATTCTGACCAGTTCCCCAGTTCCTGCCGATGAAAAACATCCCCACAGCATGATGCTGCCACCACCATGCTTCACTGTGGGGATGGTGTTCTCGGGGTGATGAGAGGTGTTGGGTTTGCGCCAGACATAGCGTTTTCCTTGATGGCCAAAAAGCTCAATTTTAGTCTCATCTGACCAGAGTACCTTCTTCCATATGTTTGGGGAGTCTCCCACATGCCTTTTGGCGAACACCAAACGTGTTTGCTTATTTCTTTCTTTAAGCAATGTTTTTTTTATGGCCACTCTTCCGAAAAGCCCAGCTCTGTGGAGTGTACAGCTTAAAGTGGTCCTATGGACAGATAGTCCAATCTCCGCTGTGGAGCTTTGCAGTTCCTTCAGGGTTTTCTTTGGTCTCTTTGTTGCCTCTGATTAATGCCCTCCTTGCCTGGTCCGTGAGTTTTTGTGGGCGGCCCTCTCTTGGCAGGTTTTTGTCGTGCCATATTCTTTCAATTTTTTAATAATGGATTTAATGGTGCTCCGTGGGATGTTCAAAGTTTCAGATATTTTTTTATAACCCAACCCTGATCTGTAATTCTCCACAACTTTGTCCCTGACCTGTTTGGAGAGCTCCTTGGTCTTCATGGTGCCGCTTGCTTGGTGGTGCCCCTTGCTTAGTGGTGCCCCTTGCTTAGTGGTGTTGCTGACTCTGGGGCCTTTCAGAACAGGTGTATATATACTGAGATCATGTGACAGATCATGTGACACTTAAATAAAGTCCACCTGTGTGCAATCTAACTAATTATGTCTTCTGAAGGTAATTGGTTGCACCAGATCTTATTTAGGGGCTTCATAGCAAAGGGGGTGAATGTTTTCGAATTTTTTGAAACAAGTTATTTTTTTCATTTCACTTCACCAATTTGGACTATTTTGTGTATGTCCATTACAGGAAATCCGAATAAAAATCTATTTAAATTACAGGTTGTAATGCAACAAAATAGGAAAAACGCCAAGGGGGATGAATACTTTTGCAAAGCACTGTATAAGGTCCCACAGTTGACAGTGCATGTCAGAGCAAAAATCAAGCCATGAGATGAAAGGAATTGTCCGTAGAGCTCAGAGATAGGATTGTGTCGAGGCACAGATCTGGGGAAGGATACCAAAAAATTTCTGCAGCGTTGAAGGTTTCCAAGAACACAGTGGTATACATCATTCTTAAATGGAAGAAGTTTGGAACCACCAAGACTCTTCCTAGAGCTGGCCGCCCGGCCAAACTGAGCAATCAGGGGAGAAGGGCCTTGGTCAGTGAGGTGACCAAGAACCTGATGGTCACTCTGACTGAGCTCCAGAGTTCCTCTGTGGAGATTGGGAGAACCTTCCAGAAGGACAACCATCTCTGCGGCACTCCACCAATCAGGCCTTTATGGTATAGTGGCCAGACGGAAGCCACTCCTTAGTAAAAGGCACATGACAGCCCGCTTGGAGTTTACCAAAAGGTACCTTTTATTTTTATTTATTTCACCTTTATTTAACCAGGTAAGCCAGTTGAGAACAAGTTCTCATTTACAACTGCGACCTGGCCAAGATAAAGCAAAGCAGTGCGATAAAAACAACAACACAGAGTTACATATGGGGTAAAAAAAACATAAGGTCATAAAATACAAGGACTAAAGGACTCTCATACCATGAGAAACACGATTCTCTGTTCTAATGAAACCAAGATTGAACTCTTTGGCCTGAATGCCAAGTGTCACGTCTGGAGGAAACAATGCACCACTCATCACCTGGCCAATACCATCCCTACGGTGAAGCATGGTGGTTGCAGCATCATTCTGTGGGGATGTTCTGCAGCGGCAGGGACTGGAGACTAGTCAGGATCGAGGAAAACAATTGAATTTATTTTAGAATAAGGCTGTAACGTAACAAAATGTGGAAAAAGTCAAGGGGTCTGAATACTTTCCGAATGCACTGTATATACAGTATGTAGACATGGTGGATGTGATTGGTTATTAATAGGTGCCTTGACTACAGCCCCTTCAGCAAACCTTGGTATTGGGATCCCCATGCTGGCCAGCAACTTCATCAGCTCTGACATCACTGTGCACCTACAGAGTGAGAATGGACTTCTGGGCCTGGTGAGCCACATGAGCTGTTAGATATAGATTTACCAATACAAATATAAATACTGTATTCAGGAAAGTGGGTGCCTTCTCTTTGACGTAGTCCAGTGTGTGTATCTGTGTCATTGTGTTTTTTTGTCTATGATTATAAAGGGTCCTTATCCCACCGAAAGTGAGGTAGACCCAGACCTTATCAATGCAGGTGCGTACAGCATGCCCTTACGTCAACACTACACCTACATAGTTGTAGAAAGTCTTTGGTTGGACATGCAATCCTCAAATCAAAGCTTTCTTGGAACATCTTTCCTGGCCTTTACCCTCCTACCCTCTGACCCAGTCTCTGTACGTGTTATTTAGGTAAAGAGGTTGTAACTGTGGTTCCTGGAGCCGCGTTTTTCTCCAGCGATGAATCATTTGCTATGATCAGGGGGTGAGTGCTCAAACCATCTACTGTACTCCCCGATCTTTATCTTCGCTAACCTTAGTATCACTTTTTCATTTGGAGTAGCTGAATGTAACATTAACTACCTCTCTACCTTCAGTGGCCACATTGACCTGACCATGTTGGGAGCCATGCAGGTGTCTAAGTATGGGGACCTGGCCAACTGGATGATCCCGGTATGATCATGTCTCTTTCACCCAGCTGGCCGATCGTAGGAATATGTGTGCATAATGAGTGTTTCAACATGTGTACTCTCTCTTCATTGACTTCCACAGGGAAAGATGGTGAAGGGAATGGGAGGGGCTATGGACCTAGTGGCATGTGCAGGAACCAAAGTGGTGGTGACCATGGAGCATTCTGCTAAGGTACACACTGATACTCTCCCACCAGTACTTCATACACATGGTTTTAGACCTTACTACTGTACCTAATACACTATAGTAGTGTACCCTATACTTAACCTTATATTAAACCTTATCGCCTCACAAACTTAAGGGGGACAAACACAAAATCCTGGAGAGTTGTACTCTGCCACTGACAGGGAAGCAGTGTGTGGATAGGATCATCACTGAAAAGGTGAGCTTTTTAAATAATGTTAAGCTTGTCAGCGTCAATCTCCTCTTCCTGTATGCACTCAGTCACTCACGCTTTTCCCCTATCGCCCTGTCTCCCAGGCAGTTTTTGATGTTGACAAGGCCAGCGGCCTCGCTCTCATAGAGATCTGGGAGGGGCTGACTCCTGATGACATTAGAGCGTGCACTGGCTCAGACTTTGCTGTGAGTTTGACAAACATGACAAACCCATCATATCTCCACTGATGAATCATGGGATAACTACTGACTCATTAAATAAACACTGAATGTTCTGTGCTTCCATTATAATGAATGACTCAACTCTGATCGCTGTTTGTGTTTCTTTATAGGTGTCCCCAAATCTAAGACCAATGCAGCAGATCTGAACTCAGTGACTCCCAACCTTTCTACAGTGCACAGAATCCTTCTTTTAACATTCCACATGACCATAGTGCTACAAATGCATGTACACAACACATAACTCTGGGAGAGAGGAATAAATATACCTGCAGAGGAAAGGATTGACAGTTAAGAGTCAGCCGGCTACAACGTGCCTGTGACTTACAATAGAATCTGAATCTAGGCCTACAATGCAATGACTGGTCATTCAAAGCTGTATATGGTATAATCCATGTTCGATTGTTTTCCTCTTTTAAAATGGCATAACTAACTCTAGTTGACTAAATTTGTACTTGAGTGACTCAGTAAATTATGAAACTCAAAAGCTAAAACTTTGTTTTTTCTGTTCAGGATGGGATGATAAGTTCCTGTGCCATCTGCTGCTGTATTGTGTCTGCATGATATCATACATACACTTGAGAGCAACTGGGGTAGTCAAACTCATACAATATGGCTCTCCTAACTTGGGTAAATTCAGCATTGTGACCTTTGCACTAATTGTGCGGAGCAGAGAGGCTCAACCAGGAAAAACAATTGTTACGCAACCTCCTCCCTACTTAGAAACAAAATCCCAGTGCTGTTTGAACAAAAACATTTAATTTCATGATGGTATTGCGTAACACTGCATGTACAATCACAAAATCAATGACACCACCTAAAACGAAGGACTAGGGTGGACTAAGTCAGGTTCAGGACTGTTGCTGCCACCATCGGTCAGAATGCAATGAGGAGATTGAGAATACAATTAGCCAATTTATTTCACACACAGCAAAGGCAAACAGAGGCGGGGGGAGGTGGGATTTGCTCCTGGATTCTGTTGGATTGTAAGGCCGGTAGGTAGGGTGTGATGGTCTAGGAGGGAGATAGAGAAAATACATATCAGGGGCAAATCAACATAAAAGTGCATGAACAAACAAGTAGTGCCGGGTGAATAAATGGGCTTTATGGTAATATGTAATTAACTCAGGGCTGACTATCCTTTTGGGGGCTCCAAGTGAGATTTGGTTGCCCCCCGCAGCAAAACATTTGTTTTAGTGGCCCCCCTCTTAAAAGTGGGGATCATTTTTTGTTTTAAAGTTAATTTCCTGGAATTCTACAGCTTTTGCCATGGGGCAAAGAAAATAAGTAGCAATTTTATAACAAATATCATGCAATTCTACACATTACTTATGCCATTTTAATATGATATCTGAGTGAGATTGATTTTGTTAGTCAATGGAGAAAGTCAGGGCCCCTGGGCATGTGCCCTGTGTGCCCAGCCGCTGGTCAGCCATGATTACTACAAGTTTAGATCAAAATTGTTAGCTGACATGGCTAATTGAGTGACTGCCAGTGACAAGAGTAAAACTGCTGATGCACAACCAAATTTCAAAATTGCACCAAAGGGTGGCTATTCTTCAAATAGCCACCCTTTGCCTGAAACCGGCCCTTAATAAACGTAGAAAACAAAAAACATTAACTACAACAAAAGGAGCACATGGCATACAAAGCATTCCAGGTGAAGCTGGTTGAGAGAATGCCAAGAGTGTGCAAAGCTGCCAAGGCAAAGGGTGGCTATTTGAAGAATCTAATATCTAAAATATATTTTGAATTGTTTAACACTTTTTTTGGTTACTACATTATTCCATTTGTGTTATTTCATAGTTTTGATGTCTTCACTATTATTCTACAATGTAAAAATAGTAAAAATTAAGAAAAATCCTTGAATGAGTAGGTGTGTCCAAACTCTTGACTGGTACTGTGTGTGTGTGTGTGTGTGTCACATTCGTTGAGTAAAGGATTGGACCAAGGTGCAGTGTGGTATGCGTACATAGTCGTTTATTATATTGAACACCGACAAAATAACAAAATCCAACAGAACGTGAAGTTCAAAAGGCTAAACATCCAACAAGCCAAACTGAAACAAGATCCCACAACTAAGGTAGGCAACATGGCTACCTAAGTATGATCCCCAATCAGAGACAACGATCGACAGCTGCCTCTGATTGGGAACCACACCCGGCCAACATAGATATAGATAACATAGATCTACACAGATATTCTCTATGTCAGGGCGTGACAGTACCCCCCCCCCCCCCCCCCCCAAAGGTGCGGGGCCTCAAAACTGACTCATTAGGGGACGGTCCGGGTGGGCATTTAGCCTCGGTGGCGGCTCCGTCCCCGGGTGCGACGTCACCCTTACTGTCCTCTCTTTTTCTGGCTCCCCGAAGCACACCTGGTCCAGCGCGATGCTTCCCCTCTCAGTCCTCCCACAATGCACCAAGCCCTGTCTGGACCCTGGTGTGGGAGGCCCCGACCCTGGAGAGGGACTGACGTCTGGGCCTGGACCGGCAATCCTCCCGTGATGCACCAAGCCCTGTCTGGACCCTGGTGTGGGAGGCCCCGAACCTGGAGAGGGGTTGACGTCTGGTTCTGGCTCTGCAGTCCTCCCGCGATGCACCAAGTCCTGTCTGGACCCTGGTGTGAGAGAGTAGACGACCGGACCCGGACTGGGCACTGGTGGTGCGGACTGCTCTGGCACTGGAGTGGAGCCGCTGCCCGGAGCTGAACTGGACCCCAGTGGAGCGCACTGCTCTGGCTCTGGAGCAGCTGACCGGTGCTGGACTAGGCACCGGTGGAGCGGACTGCTCTGGCACTGGAGTGGAGCAGCTGACCGGAGCTGGACTGGGCACCGGTGGAGCGGACTGCTCTGGCACCAAAACCCAAAATAACTGTCAATCTCCCTCGGGCTGGGGCTCCATGCAAGATCTCACCTCGTGGAGTTGCAATGATCATGAGAACGGTGAGGAATCAGCCCAGAACTACATGGGAGGATCTTGTCAATGATCTCAAGGCAGCTGGGACCATAGTCACCAAGAAAACAATTGGTAACACATTACGCCGTGAAGGACTGAAATCCTGCAGCGCCCGCAAGGTCCCCCTGCTCAAGAAAGCACACAGGGCCGTCTGAAGTTTGCCAATGAACATCTGAATGATTCAGAGGAGAACTGGGTGAAAGTGTTGTGGTCAGATGAGACCAAAATCTAGCTATTTGGCATCAACTCAACTCGCCGTGTTTGGAGGAGGAGGAATGCTGCCTATGACCCCCAAGAACACCATCCCCACCGTCAAACATGTAGGTGGAAACATTATGCTTTGTGGGTGTTTCTTTTTCCCTCACTGTATATATATATATATATATATATATGCAAAAAATATATGGGGGATTGGAAATGATGCAGACAATTACATTGATGGAAGCTGATCTACCCCCTAAAAAAAATGTTTTTTGAAGAAGTGTGCAGATGGATGTATCATGTTATCAGAAGTAGGTCATCAATGACGTCTGAATCATCGTTGATCACGTGCTTTTCAAACATTGTGTTGCAAAATCCCACTGATTTCGCGGTGGTTCCGGTGCTCTCTTCGATTCCAAGCTGCTTTCAAATATAGATAGGATTTTGGACAAAATGTTGTATTTAGTATAGTTTAAGCTTCTGTCGTAAGCATCCTAAATAATGCCATAGATTCAGTTTGAAAAAGAGAAAACTTGAAGGTAAAAAAGGGAAGCATCATGTAAGATGCAAACCTGGTATTCCTACTGATTACATGCTATTAAAGATAACGACGTACCACTGCACCACACAGTTCGAATTTTGAAATAAATAATGGAGAAAAATATCTGATAATCACACACTGCTATTTATTGCTGACCAGCAGATGTCACTAGTGTGCGTTGTGAACAGATAACGAAGCTCCGAGTAATAATGTCACGTCCACTCCCTGGCGCTCGACGTCACCAGTCTTTCTAACAACCTGTCCTGGCAACCCATCTTTATACACACATGGCAACCTTCATTACACACACCTGCGCCTCATTAGGCACACCTGGACTTCATCACCTCCCTGATTACTTCCCCTTTATATAGCACTCCGTTGTCATCACCCACCAGGCAATATTGTGTATGTTTCCACGTTTAAACGCTTTCTTGTTTTGTATCAGGCAATGTTCTTTGTCATTAAACTCACTAACTGCACTTGCTTCCTGACTCCCTGCGTCTATGTTACAAATGAACAGTTTTTCGGCACAATTTGGTGAAAGCGCCAAAGCCTTCAGAAAGCCTCGGTTTCCCATCACTAGTATACAACAGACTAGAGAAATTGGCAGAATAATATATATTTAGCAATAGCACTTACATATAACCACTCCGATAATATAACAAGGCACAATTATTTTACACACAAAATGGAAAAAAAGAGACTATGCCACCTGTGGCATCACCATCTAAGGATTTGCTGTGGTCAGAAGTGGAGAAGGTGGCTATATGGCAAGGTGAGGCGTGAGAAAAAGGCTGAGGAGTGGTGATTTGGGAGTGACAACAGGTGTGGGAACAGGTGTAGAGGGAAGGGGTGTGTCCTGGACCAATTAGTTAATCTGCAGAGGAGTGGTCTTCAACACACCACCAATACTTTTACTATAAATGAATAATAGCCCATGCCAGCAGAGGGCTCCAAGGCCCCCCAATCATTACGCATCAAGCAAACGAGGGGGAAATGGATTTCTCCAGTGTGGAAATTCCTGAACTCGAGGTGCTATTGAGTAATCTCTCTCCTCACTGGCTATATGAGCTGGGCTCACTGTGCTCGGCCAGAGGAAAACAACTGTCTGTCTCTGTCATGTGCATCATGAAGGTCGGGAGCTCACCTATACTCTCAACAGTAAACATTACTATAACTCTATCTGACTTTGTTAATGTCATTATTCCTCCTAGTTGAACTTGGATGTAACTCTGTCCTGTCTAACTTTGTTACACTTCTGTCTCCCTCACATTTGGTATGTATTGAGCAAATCAAATCAAATTGTATTTGTCACATGCGCCGAATACAACATGCTTACTTACAGTTTTAAGAAAGAATACCAAAAAAAAAAAAAAAAAAAGGTTTTATTAAAGAGCAGCAGTAAAATAACAATAGCGAGGCTATATACAGGGGGAACCGGTTAGTCAAG